CAGCCCCGCCCCGCCCCGCCCCGCGCCGCAGCTGCGCGCTGACTCCGCCCTCTGCACTACTCTGGCGTCACGGCCCGGGTCCGACGGCGCCTCTTAAAGGGGCCGTGCGCCGCTGCGCCGCTGGCCGAGTGCCTCACCGTGCTGACCCACACAAGTGGGAGGAAATCGAGGACAGGACGGGGTCCCGGTCAGCGCGGTCCGGACCTCTAATGAACTCCCACAGCCCGTGGCGCCCAGACCTCGGCGGCTGGGAGGGCGGAGGCAGCCGGTGCCGGAGCCTGGACCCTCCGCTCGCCGCGAGCGGACAGCACGTCTGTCGTGCTCGGAGTCCGAGGGCCACACCGGAGAAAGGCAACCGGCAACAGCCAGACGAATCCTAACAGTACATGGTATCCATCCCGGTAGATACCAGTATCGTTCGACACGTAAGCAGCGTCTTAGCGCCGGCGGTCAGCTCGTCCACACCGGGCTGGAGCTCGCGCCTGGCGCCCGGGCACGTCTCGGTCCGCACAGGCCGCGTCCCCAGCGCCCCCAGCCGCTGCGGGCCCGGCCTCTGCGCCGCACGGGGGCTCCGAGCTGTGCGGGCGCAGAGTTAGGGACCGAGAGAGTCCACGGAGGGAGGCACATCCCTGCCGGCTCAGCCGCGCCCTGGGCCCCAGCAAGGCAGCCTTCAGCTTCTCGGTAAACGGCGGTGCCCAGTCCCCTCACGAGATGTGAGTGCCGTTCTCTTAAAACAGACGGCGGATGCTGCCTGCCTGCTGGGCTGCGGGGAGGGACGGCTGGGCAGGCTCCGTGGGCCGCAGCCCTCGCTAAGGAAGGCATTACCTCTGCGTGTTAATCCATTCGGGGGACCCGCTTACAGCGACCACTCAGCCTGACCACCAAAACCCGTTTGATTTGGAAACCAACGTCTAACTCATTCAGCAGGTGGGCAATGGACTAAATTGTGTCCCCCCAAATTCATAAGTTGGGTTGAAGCCCCAACCTCTAGTGTGGCTGTATTGGAGATGGGGCCTATAAGGAGGCAATTAATGTTAAATGAGGTCATAAGGCAGAGCCCTTTTCTAACAGCATTACTAACCTTATAATAAGAAACCCCAGAGCACTCGCCCCCACCTCATACCTTCCCACCCTTGAACAGAAGACAAAGAAGAGGTCCTGTGGACAGCGAGAAGTCTACAAGCCAGGAAGAGAAAGCTCTCTCAAAAACCAAACCCTGAGGGAACTTGATCTTGGACTTCTGTCCTCCAAAACTATGAGAAATAAATACCTGTAGTTTAGGCCACCCAGTCAGTGTTATTTTGTTCTGGCAGCCTGAACTACTAATACAGCATCCCTTTTTTTCTACTTTTTTACAAAATCAGCATGTGCCAAGGATACCCTTAGTGGAAACTCAGTGTCGGGGCATTGCTGATACCTGGAACCTGTTTCCTAAGAAGTGGCATGGCCTCCTCACCTCCCCTCAGGCTGTTTTCTCCCACACTCCAGCAATGCCTGGCTGAGAAACACCCCAGCACGCCTGCACACACACAAACTCGCTTACTCTGAGACTGTGCCTAAATTAGAGAAAACTAAACCAGAGAAAAACTAGAGAACCCCCAGCCCCATGTCCCTGGCGTCCCTCAGATCTCAGGAGCCTCCTTGCCGAGCACCAGACCTTCTGGCTTCTCCCCATGTGTGCCCTCGTTGCTCCGCTATGTCCCTCACCCCTTCCCCTCTCTCTCCAAGCCACCAACAGGCTTCCACACCTGGCAGACGCCCTTGCCCTTCACCGAGGAAGGATTTGCAGTCCCAGATCTAACCCGTGAGTTGGCAGGGCCACCGGCATCTATATCTCCTCCGTCCTGTCACCCCCCCCGGGTCATGCCATCAGCTCACAAGCACACTGCAGTGTCTCAGATCCTATAAAATCCTCCTTTGCGCTATGCCCCTTTGCTGCAAACCTTCTCCTACAAGTTGACCAGTCTGCCCCGAGTGCCAACAGGCCACACTTCCAGGCCCTCAAACCACGCTCTTGTGCACACATCCCGCTGGGTCCATCCTCGCAGTTATCACTGGTCTCCTAATCCAGTGGCCTGTCTCCACCCCTGGTCCCCACTGATCTGCCAATATGGTTGACCCCCCTGACTCCCTTCCAGAAACGGGGTCTGCCCTGGAGACCATGATATTTGTGCTCTGGGTCCTCCCCCACCTCTCTCAGCCTCCTTTACTGGCTCCTCCTGGTGCTCCACCTGAAGTCCTGGGGTCCCTGTGCTTGGTCCTGGCTCCTGCTTCCTTTGTATACTCCCGAACTCGTCAGACCCACGCCCCAGACTTTATCCACCTACTGGGCTGCTGCACTGGGAAGGGCCACCTCAAACCCAGGGGGCAGCAACAGGTTCCCAATTCGCCCCCTTCCTCCTGCAGCTCACACTCCAAAGCACCACTACTGTCGTGCGGGGCCCCTTGCTTCTCAGGGCCTTGGCGGCTGTGTTTGTCTCTGTGCCCCAGAGGTGACTTGACTGGCTTCTTCTGACTCTTCGAGGCTCTCAGATGCCTGTTTGTCAGACCCCCTGCCTACCTGCCACACCTCATGTGCACCCCTCCATCGCCACTCTCTCTGTGGAAACCAGGCTCTCCTTCCCCCTTCCCGGCAGCACAGGCACAGACTGAGAGCAGGGCCTCTGAAGTCTGATGGAGCCTGCCACAGAGAAACACTCAGTAAATTTGTGTTATGTGAATTGATGACACGTCAGACCCATCACTAAGCCCGGGTCCAGGGCTACTGACTTTCAGAGAGGTATTGACTGCTGACATCAATGTTAAAGCCACATTCATAACATCGTGGGTAAGAGAGATGCTTGCTTTTCTTTGTATGCCCTTCATGACCTTTGGAAAGTTGTCCCATGTCTGTGTGTTACCTTTGCCAAAATAATAATGATAAGTTTTGCAAAGCCAGCTTGCCTGGCTTTAGGAGAGGCCTGGCCCGCTGAGCATCTGGATCTGACCCTTCAGTGTGTGAGGGCAGGGGAGGGGAGGTGGAAGCAGCCAGAGCTGTGACATCGACTCCTCAGAAGGAGCCAGTCTGCTCCATCCCAGCCTGCTTAGCCAGGCGCTTTCTGGACTCCCAGGAGGGAGACTGGCCCAAGTCTTTTGTTGAAGAATAGTATGCTGTAAGCTTTTTTTAAATGACAGCACATTAGCCACTAAATACCACATCGTTACCTCGTTTAAGATAGTAACCAATTTACTTATGGATTCAGATTATCAGATAGTTGAGAGGTTTCCAGCTAGGATTCCTGTCCACAAGCGTGCTTCAAAGTCATCTTTCGGCAAATAGTGGATAGATAGATAGATAGATAGATAGATAGATAGATAGATAGATAGATAGACAGATGGCACTTTGTAGTTGCAAAGTGTGTTTCAATCATTTAATAATCAATCTTCAACATTCCTGCCAGGTGGATCCACCTTATTCCACTATATATAAAATCTCTGGGTTAGTTGACTCACTCACGTTAATTTTCCTTAGACAGAGAGCTTGGCTGGATGCATCGGGAAAGGAATCCAGGACTCTGTCCTCTCCATGAGGGGCTGGACCTGGGCACTTTACCCAGAGGTATTTTTGCCATTGGTGAGTTAATGGGCGGCTTATTACTTGACCTCAAACTCATCTGGGAAAGGGAGGTTTCTTTCCCTGACTTATTTGGGTACTGTCCGCATTACCCAGCTCAGTAACGGCTGTGGCTTTGCAGGCGTCGATTGTGTGTGAGGTGCTGTACAGTTCTTATTTCTAGTCCTCACAGCAATCTTAGGAGGCATGTATCTCTGTTTTATAGATAAGAAAACCAAGGCTGCGGGATTAAAAAGCTGGCCAACTTCACACAGCCAGTAGGTACAGGGTCAGGACACCAAGCGAGGACTCCAAGTCCAACTGGTCCTCAACAGCGCTGTGCCACCCTAACCTCCACCCATCCGTTCATTCACTTACCTGTTCATTTATTCACTAAGCAAATATCTCCTGAGCACTTTCTCTGTGCTGTGCACTGTTCTAGACACCAAGGATAAGATGGAAATGTCCTGGGCCGGCCCCTTGGCTTAGTGGTTAAGTGCATGCACTCCGCTGCTGGTGGCCCGGGTTCGGATCCTGAGCGCGCACTGGCGCACCGCTTCTCCAGCCAAGCTGAGGCCGCATCCCACATACAGCAACTAGAAGGATATGCAGCCATGACATACAACTATCTACTGGGGCTTAGGGGAAAAAATTAATTAATTAATTAATTAATTAAAAAAAAAGATAGAAATGTCCTCAGGACGCTGAGATTCCAGCAGGAGAGCAGGCAAGAAAGGCATGCAGGGTCACTCTGATTAGGTGGCATTGTGCCAGCTTACTGGAAACTTCCTTATAAAAGTCACATGCTCATCCTAGAACCTCTGAAAACTATAGAGCTGTGTGCAGAG